AAACAGACAGCCTAATGAGTGAATATATGTGGGAAAACAAACTACCATTATTGTTCCAAATACTCCATCATAACAGTACGAATATAAGCTGTATATAAAAAAGCATAAATATAAGTAATGATAGTCATAATCACTAAACAATAAATGTGTTACTAGGAGGAAGTGGAAAGAGAAAAGTATGTAATAAAGGGTAGCTTTCTTCAAGTGAATTAGTTTCTATCATAGTAAAAGAATACTTAGTTACTTGGGTCTGTTACCACTCATGGAGGTGCATAGGCCGCCCATCAGCATTCTCCAACCAACTCTGTCTTGAGGAATCCTTTCCAGTTGTTTCTAGTCACTATTAATGTTTCATGTCTGCTTCCGATTCTCAACGCAGTATGTTCTTTGGTTTCCCACCTTTAGTTTTCCTTCAGGACCCCAAGTTAGCACTTACTTTGTGATGCAGTTTGATTTTTAGCAATGTATGTCCTATTCACTTCCAACGTCTTTTTCTAATTACCGTTTCCGCTGAAAGTTGATTTGTTCACTCCCACAGTAGGCAGTTGCTGGTCGTATGGTCAATACACATTGAGTATCCTGCGTAGACAATTGTCTATAAATACTTGTACATGTTTGATGATGGTTGTGGTAATTCTCCAAGTATCAGCTCCGTACAATAGAACTGTATTGACGTTCGTATTGAAGAATGTGACTTTGATATTGGTTGATAGTTTTTTTTAGTTCCATATGTTCTTCAACTGTAAGAATGCTGAATATGCTTTGCCCATCTCTGCCTTCACATTCGCATCCCATCCTCCACGTGAAAGATTCTACCTCTTCCACAGTTTCAACAAGAGTGATTAGGTTGATGTTCTCTGTGTTGTATTTGGGGATCTTACTTTTCCCCTTGTGTATGTTGAGGCCTACTGATACAGATGCTACTACTACTCTGGTTGTCTTTGCCTGCATTTGTTGGTGTGTATGGGATAGAAGAGCTAAATCATCTGTTAAGTCCAGATAGTCTAACCGCATTCAAGTTTTCCATCGTATGTAGAGATTGCTCTGAGATGTCGAGGTCTTTATAATTCAATCAACCATTAGAAGAGAAAATGCGGAAGTAAGCATCCTTGTCTGACACAAGTCTTCACTTGGGATGCGTGTATCAGTTGTCCACAAATGCACCACTCTGCAGTGTAGTCCATCGTATAAATTTCGAATGATGTTGATGATTTTCTCAGGTGCACAAGAGTATCGAACAACGTCCTATAAGGTTCTCCTATCCACGCTATCAAACACATCATAGCCAAGGAAGTTGATGTATAGCGAGGAGTTCTAGTTGGCTGATTGCTCAATAATGATCATTGCTGTTGCGATTTGGTCTGTGCACGACCGATTCTCAAAGAATCCCACCTGTTGATATCGCAGATGGGCATCCGCTCAATCTTTCTTCCGGTTCAGCGACATTCTGTTTGCAGTTGCTTGTATGTTTGACTTCAGTGCTTCAGCTGGTATATTGCCAGGAGCTGCTGCTTTCCCACTCTTGATTTTTGCGATGGCCATCCTGAATCCTTTCAATCGTTGATGGAGTGACATCTATAGGAAGGTTGGTAGGTGCTGCCTCGATGTCTGGTGGATCCAGCGGAGCTGATCTATTCCAGAGTTCCTCGAAGTATTCTACGTATCTGTCCCTCTGCTCCTGAATTACAGTTATTGTCTTACCTTCTTTATCCTTGACTGGTATCTCTGGTAAGATATATTTCCCTGCCAGTTTCCTCGTCGTGTCAGATAGTTGTTTCATATTTCCTTCTGTTGCTCTCTCGTTGCTAGCTCTTCCACATATTTCCGCTTGTCAGCTTCAATGCTTCTCTTTCCTTGTTTGTTTGCTTCTTGTAATCAACTTGGGTATTGATTTTCTCTGATCATGTTCAATTGTTGTTAATTGCTGTCTTATTGTTCTTCCTTTCTTGAATCCTCCTCAGGGTTCCGATAGAGATCCAACCCTTATGATGATAATTGTTTCTGACCAGCACCTCCTGACACGTTGAAGTTAATGCTTCTTTGATCTCCTTCCAACTACCCTCCATAGTAGTTTCTTTTTCTTTGAGTAGATCCTGTAAGGCTTGGAACCTGTTGTTGAGAGTTATCTTGAATTTATTGAGTTTGTCAGTTTTTAGATTGGAAGCTGTATTGAACCTTTGTAGTGCTGTCACCCGTTTTCGGGAAAGCTGACTAACTGGATTTACAAATTTGTAAACGAAATGAAAATTTTCAATCATATACTTTTGGAGACTAAACATTTCTTATCAGTTGCGGGAATTTAATTCAAACTATCTATTTGTGTATTTATTTAGACTGATCCATTTCCGACAGGTAGATGAAGAGTATTACTTATGGAATAATCTGGTCTAAGCATCTTCTAACGGACTGGCAATGAGTACACACATGGATATAAGACAACTTCATAGATGAATACTGATTTCATACCCTTTATCCAACAATAATTCGAAATTCCACTTGATTTCCGTTCAGGTATATTAATGAACTACTGAATGATGATATGTAGTCGAGTAGCTCAGATGCCTGAATTGAAACTAAAGCCAAAAACTCAAAATGGATATATGTAGTATGACAAATACCAATCGATTGATTAACATTCACACAAAAGATTTTCTTTCAAGACTGAATATCTAATAGTTGTTATTAAAATATACACCCTAAAGAGGTCTCTGCCGAGAAATTATTGTAAGAACATCTCGACATTCTTGAAAGATTCTGTTACTTTTCGTTTTTCAGTATATCCTCAATATCTATATTTCTGATTGGTAACAAATACAGTGATCCTCAGGTTGACGAGTAACTTAATTTGACAGAACGTAGACAAGCTGAGATATAGAAGCTTTGTCCTATGTTTTCGCCTATATACATGTGGACTGGCAAAACTCGTCTAGTCCTTGACGAAGCTCACTCTATACGCCAACGAATTGCAATCAACCGGTGTAGGACTTACGAAGCATCATACTTCCAATTATCTTAAGTTAGCACGACACTAACCCCTAGAACATATCTAAATATTAGCTAGGAACCAGTTACGTGATTTCTCTACTATTTTGCTTCATATAATCCCTGTATCGGCCAGACCGTAAAACTCCAGTGCTAAATGCAGATTCAAACGTCAGTTAGTAGCAACGTAGGACTTCGTACGTACGTACATCAGTTCGAGTTGCCACACCATATTAGCACAGAGATGCAGTTGTCGATTTAAATCCCGTAGTGGTGAAGGTAGTAAGAGTATAAGCAGTAATCGGAAAGATTAGGGTTTGAAGATGTTATTCAAGGAGTGTAATAAATTTGAAGATATGAAGAATTCAGAGGATTAGAATTTGAGAGAACACAAAGAGTGGATGCACCTCCATTGCAATTGACTTTGAGCCACGTCAATCAAGGTCTCTAACATGGCTCAGTTCACTCGTCAGTGACTTCATGGATTTGTAGCATGTTTTGGTGTGGCCGCCCCTAGCTTTCTTTCAAACTACTCCGACACCATAAAATATCGCTCGTCGTGGTGGTCGGTGGTTGAGCATTCGTAACACATGTCCCAGCCACTACTTCATCAATCGATTCGCCATCCTTACCTAGTACCCGTTTCCTAACAACTGCATTACCTACTCGGTGGTCCCAGGATAGACGAACAATGCTTTAAAGACACCTACAATTGAATACTAGTAACCTAGGAATATCGTCTACACTTACCGGCCGTGGTTTACTGCCATAAAGTAGGACGGAACGAACTGCTGTGCAATAAACACGTCCTTTAGTTGGTAGATGGATATCACGCCTACGCCATGAATAACTCAAGTTGACAAAAAGCTAATCGGACCTTCTGTATCCGTGCTGAGAACTCATCATACACCAGACCACAAGGGCTGATGAAACTCCCAAGATAAGTGAAGCGGTTGACACGCTCAACTACTTCACTCCTTATCATTAGTTTAAGTGCCGATGCAACCCAATCCTGAAGCAACATTTTGTATTTCGAGGGAGAGAATCGCATGTCGAACATGCTTGCATTGTTGCTTATAGTGGCCAGAAGACTCTGCATTTTTGTCAGCATCTTCACCAAATGGACCTGTCAACAGTATATTCTAGGTCAACAAGTGAATCTCCCGGTGATAGTTCAACTCCTGGAAATGTAGATGAGGAAAGCGTTATCTCTAAAATCACGTCAACGGCAATGTTAAACAAGAATGGAGAGAGTGGTCAGCCCCGACAACCACCACTTGAGGTAATCAATTCTAATGACAGTTCAAACGAGTGAAGCGAAATTTATTCACTCATCAACTAACAAGTAATCTTGTTTCAGTCAGATATTAGTACATTAATAATTTTATTAAGTTCCTAATATAAATACACGCAATCAGTTGACAAAGCTTTTGCCGGAAATTTTCTCCGTTACTTTCAGGTATAGATTATCAGGTGGAAATGATTAGTCTAAATTTTATTTAATTGTTACAGCTAACTGAAGCATTGTACCGGATAGGGGTTGTATGTACATGATACCAAACCCATGAGGGCTTAACAGTCTGGTATTAGTTGGTTGAAGAATCAGTGATCTACAACTAATTTCCTCCAATCCTTTATGAAGAAAATTCTAATTGTTTTAGTGCGACTGTACCGACTACTTGAGACCAATTAAAACAGATATTCTTGGGAATAGTAGTGGCAGATAAGTTTCATATTTCTGAGATCTACTTCGCCTCTTAAAAGTAGTTACTTAGTCCTACCACTCACTTTAATCAACTTTTCCCGAGCGACCTGAACTTAGCAGAAAATACAGTATGAATAATCTGGCACTGTGATAAAGGTGAAATGAAATAAACAATGTGACCCTTGGGATGTTTGGAACCAACACAGAGCTCTTACTAAAGCTTGGCTGCTGCACAATGTAAGATACGAAAAGTGCAACATCAGTACAGAGACCTAATTATGTTTACTCAACATCTAAACCATGATTTTTCCCTGTAATTAGGCAGTACACTTGTGCACTGGTATGACATTTCTGAGTAACTACTTAATGAGTGAGTATACTGCACCCGACTGTCATGGATTAACCGTAATATAAAACAGAACTAAATACCGAAGACTCTCAACCAAACGACCAGGATCTAAAACAAGGAAAAGGATGTTTTACAAAAATTCAGCACATATGAGGACAAAAAGTAGTACTTTTAGAATAACATGCACTAATCTCGTGAATTTTATAAGAAAAATAGTAAAGTTAAACGAACACCTCATCGAAAAAATAACTGGTCCCACATCTCAGAGCATTAAAACGATAGAATCAAAAGATGTTGATTTCACAACATTGTGATAATCAAAAGATTTCTACCACACATTGAAAATAAGTTCTGTATTAGAAATGTGTTGTTGAGTGAAAGTCAACCACACCTATCAAAGATAATTCATTAAGGCTACCTGTTATAATAGGAGGAAAATAAGCACGTGGTACTTTCCATTAGAAATAGAAACTTATCAAAAATTAATGTACAGTCAACCGCTAGTCTCCCATTGCTTCTTTGAAATTGTTCAAAATATCACGTTCCAGAGATACTAAAGCATTAATCATTACTTTCGTAAGATGGAAATTAATAGATAAACTGATGAAAACCCATTTGACGGTTAGTCTCAGGTCTCATTAAATGCTGTGAATCGGTTTTTTAAGTCGATTTCTAGCCCAGGCGTCTCACGTACATCTCTGAAAAAAAAAGAAAATGTCCAGCTTTTACTGCATGGAGAATAGTGTATTGTCTACTCGAGAGTAATTACCAGGTTTCCTGTACTATAAATTCCCGAAGGACAGGAATTAAAAAATATATTCATTTATGGATGAAGTCTATATGATTTGACAGTTACATCATTGATATGACAGTAGGACTAGTGTAGTTGGCGTAGCACAAATAAACGACTACACGATATATTGGCAGCGAACAACTGAACCCAGAGCTAAAGTGACTGATCTTCGCAAGATAGTCTAGGTCTCGATGGACGACATTAACGAGAGCCTCTATTTTATGACTGAGTTTTTGCATTTTAAATTTCAGCTTAGCGGTAAGCTGTTAATACCTCACCGCAAAAACTCATTGTATTATTTTAATATATATATCCGTGACTGAATACAACTGGGAGATTCGAAAATGATTATTTTTTCGTTTTATTCTATCTATATCTAATGAAGACTGGTTAAGGTCTTATAGGTGGAGAATGTTTCGGAAGAAACCATTAGTTTCTATGACGTAAATGAGCTCAAAATAACGAAGGATAACCGCCGACAAGGTTTTAAATATGACTTACTTGTAAGTTTTCACATTTACATTTCTAGACCATCCATTTGTGTTTTCTGAAGCTGTGTGGAAACTTGTATCTGAGGGATTCGGCGGAAGCTGTTCGGCAGGATTGTTAATGGGATTCACACTGATAATATTTCCTCTAGCCCAACCACCACCTGAAGCGGCTTCGCGAAGTCCTGGATTTTCGGTAAATCTTCTAAATCCTGGATCTATATCTGAACGAAAAGGTGGAACATTATGAGGCCGGAAGCCATCTCCTGTATAACCTGGACCCACACTTTTGAATCCTGCAGCCCCTGCCTGTCGCAAGCTTGGTGGAACATATGCGGATGTTGTGGTGTTGACGGCTATTTGTAATGTACTAGATATTGGGTTAGCACGACGCACACCTGCCTGTTGCCAAGGTGAGTTTTTGTCATCATTATCATTATTTGGTTGAATTTCCTTTTTCTGAGGTTCATTCACAGATGCATCTAGGGTAGGAAAATCCATTGAACTGGCTACATTTGGCTTTGGAGCTACAGGACCTAAACCACTGCCTCCCAGTCTCAACGGAGCAGGAATGTAGACGCTAGGTTTAGGTGGTGGTTGTACAACTGCTTCTACGGGTTCTTCGGCTACAAATATGAATGTTTAGTAGCGAACAAAATGTGAATAAAAAAGCACGAGCAGAAAGTAGTAAAACAACAAACAATTTGACGAGCAGCTGATATTCAAATGCCCTGAGACATTTACAGTAGTGGTTACGAAGGTAATCAATCTCTATACAAAAAACTGGATGACGACGCTTATTCACCTGAAAACGAAGAATCAGGAATGACATACCATTTGAGAAAATTATTAAAACAGGGTGTGATTACGTACGAACTTGTTCTGTACTAAGCTGAGCATCTCACATAAGTAGGTCGACAAAATAGGAAATAAAATGCCAACTTATTTATGACAACTAAAATAAGGAGCTAGGATAATTATTTGCAATAGGTTAGTCTTTTTTACATTACAAACGATAGCTGCTACTAGATTTGTGATGGAAATTTCTCAGCGCAAGATATGCTGAGTTCCATAACAGGTTTATAACTCATTGATGGTTTACTGTTGAAGCGGCTTGACTGGATCAAAACCCGACCTAAACTCAATTTGAAAGCTGTTGACCTAGTTTCACAGTAAGTGGATAGAGACAAACCTAATTAGTGTGTTCACTTAATGTCGTAATGAAGTAGAAATGATTGAAATAAGCCTCACAAAGTAGAACACCCAGTACAAACTCACGAGTTTCAACAGGCTTTGCACCCCAAACCTTCTTCTCCACCACAGATTCACCATCACCTTCACGAGAATCTTTGTTTTTCGACAAATTTTTAGCAGAATCGTCAGTTATGGCAGAGGACAGATTGTAGACCCGAATGTTCTGAAGATCTATTTCTTTTTCGTCATCTATAATTTCCCACTCGTCATCTTTCTAATTCATAAACAATAAATGAACAGTAATTAAGGTGCCAACTCACCTCAGAAGTAATAGGCTTGTTTTCTTGTGGAGCATTAGATTCTGGGTAAGATTTGAGTACTTCACCTCCTTTTGTCAGCAAATCCATTAATTCAGTGGGATTTTGTTTTTTCTTAGACTTTTTCTTATTTTGTTTGGCAAAAAAGTCATTCAATGACATCTTGAGACACCTAGAACACGCTATGGATACAGACAAGAACGCGCTAAGAAACTTCCTACGAATTGCCGCCGGAATTGATCGAATTTGAGGAAACAAGAACAAGTAACAAAAAATGAATTACAATTCTTAGAGTATGTTTTCTCATAATCTGTTGAGATAAACAATCAGCTTTTGTGTCTATCCGTTTTTTCCCTGTTGAAATGAAACCGTGTTAAGTACCAGAAGTAATGCCATAAAAAATAACAAAATTTCTTGACTTCTGCCACCTACCAAAGATTTTCAACCTAATGTTACACTGTATGGCAGAGTTTCACATTCTAAGAAACATGTCTTTGAACAGAAATTGCCAGACATAATTGAAATTACATTAAAACGTCTGTAGCGTTAAATATATTACATTTAAATAGTTCCGTAAGTCATTAACATTGATGCGACTTCATTGGTTTTGCCAGGCGCACCATAGCTGAGGACGCCTGGCCACGCGTTTGCACCAGATCATTACCGAGTACACCGTGCTGAGCATCCTTCGCAACAACTAGCCAGCTTAGACAACACATACATCTTGATGTACCGAAACGCTTACATATTTATCTTCGAACTCCTTTATTCCTGACTCTCAATCTGAGTGGTTTTGTAGTGCTTTTGTCATGAAGGTGTTATGGACCAAAGATTTATCAAACCTAGAATATCCTTATTATTTTTAAACTTGAGCCTAATGATTGAAAACGATCTTGATTGAATAGAGGCTGCAGGAGTCAAGCTGCTACCACTAGAGTTCATATCATTTGTAGAATACGACGAAATTCGATATCTGATTATGACAGGTGATATAAAATACAGTACGTATCCATGAATTGGTGGTATGCAGATATATCCTTATGATCAATACGAAAGACACTTTATGAATCTAATGATCGTTCACATTGTGTATGGTTACTCATTACCAGAAAATCCTTACAAATATCGTGGATGTAAAATCCATGTTCAAACCAATCACAACCTCCGTACTAACCTACCTATACCTTCTATCCCTTGCGAAACACACATCGTTGACCGAAAATCGCATGCCTATCATGTCCTGTGCTCTTTTTTCCAGATTGCACTCAGCGCTACTAACTCTTTTGATGTCAGCCTCCATTTCCAAACGTAACGTAGTGTGACGGAGTTTAATGATTCTTGCGGTCTGTGTCTTATCCACCTCCAGCACCTTTTACTGATCTCCTCTGCAGCTAGAATCTGAATTGTTCCCGGCCATATAAGATTATTGCTATTGGTATCTGGCAGACAAATATAGAGTATGTTGCATAGGCGGATATTCTTGGATAACTGTGGTTTTTTATCAATGACTTTTGTAGTTCTTCAGGTTTCGGCTCAGTACAGTAAAACTGTTCAGACGCTAGTGTTGGATATTATGACTTTAGTTTTCGCAGACGATTTTTTAGAACTCCATATTTTCTTCAGTTATGCCAATACTGCTTTCGCTCCACCACTTCAAGACTTGGCATCCACATCCGATCCGCCTCCTTTATCATAGGAAATATTCATGTGTGTTAGTTGATATGTTAGTTGATCGCCGGCCAGTGTTATGTTTGACCTTATAATTCTTTAGGCCTGCTCTCACAGAAACTGTTACTGTATCACCAGTCTTCGTCTCCGTTTATTACTGAGTATGCGGTAATAGGGTCTAATGGTCCGCGGAATCAAACAACTGAAAGCTATGGAAACACAAAAGGAAGTATGCCCACATTAATCTTATGCTTTGTGAATCGTTGCAACTTAATATATATTTTCTTAGCTCAATACAAACAAAAATTGTCTGTTCGTAGTGATGACTCGATAGGTTTTGAGAATTCCCTACTGTATCGAAATTTAGGGCATTGTGTCAAGTTATTGTTAACAACAATTCTGATAGGCAGATAAAGAAAACGGTGGAAAGTCTCAGCGCGCTGGTAACTGATAGACTGTCGACAGCTAGACTCACAGCTGGATAAAAATTTTCGGGAGTATTTTAAATTCTCTTTTCCCCCTCAAATTACAAGCAAATTTAAATATACTTCCTTGAGATCAACATTCAGCGATTTTTCTTCAGAACTATGATGAAATATCTCTCACATTTAAATATACCAGATTGTAACTTTCTTCTGTGATAAGCCGCCCTCAGAAATAAAGATTTTAAAGTCAATATATGTGGGCACTAATATCGTTAATTTCACTGGACTCTGTTAGTTGAATATCCTAGTCAGACATTACAACCACATATCAACACAACTTCCATTTCAGATAATTCTGCTCCTTTAGACAGCCAGTTTTCATGCTTCAATTTCTTTTATATTAACTCATGTTCATTTGTTCTAATCTTTACAAACGAAATATTCTAAGACCTTGACTGGGTGATTGCTTGATTCAATACTATGACGTAGGAATGTCGAGATCTGGACTTGATTAGAAAATATAACTATTCTCAAGACCTAGTATTTGGACCATGACTTTCAAGATACATGAAGTTCAAAACTAAACTTGCCCACTGAGTACTCTCTGGCCTGTCATTTACGGATAAAATATCCATAAACTGTTGCTCTAGAATATCCAGGCTAAACAACTACCAAGCAACATTTACCTTCAGTGGATCGGCAAAATTTAGAATGTATCTCATGTTCAAGTGCTAACGCTGCATGCTCTATTGTCTGTAATCACGTGGTAAAAATATAACAGAGTATTATAGGCAGTACATATGAAATTGTGTGTCAACCATGACTAATATGAGTGATCCACTGTATGAAATTTCTTGGGTCTTCTCCGCTCCACAATATTCAGTGACGGTAAATAGGGATACTTCTGGACAGATAGGATTCATGCATGTGCTGAGAATTCTATATTGTACCAAAATATAATATTGAATAAAGCCATAAATAAATAAATAAATAATAAATAGACTGACAACCTAAGAAAGTATAAATATGGAAACATTCGGGACTGAAGTAATACACTGCTCACAAAGCAGCTGACACAAAAAAACGGACATTTCATTTAGATAAGCATACATATACATAAACGTGGGACTGGTAGGATTTTTACAGGCATCCACAAAAAGGACGAAAATCTCATACATGAGTCTCTCAAATCTCTCTATGCAGCACAAAAGTGCTCTTAATAGTCGCTCTCTTGAATATCCTAATTCATTAGCCACTTTAATTAGGATGTGGTAGTCGGTATTTAATATAGTCCCTAAACGTTTTCTTGATAACCGTCACTTGATAACGCCCCAACGGCGTATTAATCATAAGGCAAATACGAAGTGTTGAATAAATTTATTGTCGCACCACACACAAATCTTTAAAATTACAGGTGCGCTAAGCAATCATAAAAGAGTAGTGCCAAAAAAAAGTGGGAAAACAAGTGGGCGAGCAAGTCAATGAACAGGATTAAAATGTGCATATATAGTGAAATGAATAAATCATCGAATCAATTGAGCGACTAACAGTAGGGCTAGAAAAATGAATATATGCCTAGGCAGTGAGAAATGCTTAAATATACACATTCATACAAGCGCAACAATAATAAAGGTGCAATAGTACGGATAATTTGTAATTGTACGAATGACTCCGTTAACAAAAGGGCTTAATCAAACTAAATGTGAACAAACTTAATGTACGTGAGCTGCTATAGGGAACAATAAACCTACAATAATCTTTAAACTATGGTTTCATGACATAGCCAAACAGTTCCCTTGGTTATCCATTGCTGAATAGTCTAACAAATCATCTGGTCATTTTTACTTCCAAAGGAAAAGCTTGGGACACAACCACTAATTATGCATCAAGATCAAAACAATTAAGAGTAGACGACTTACAGCATTCGAATGTCCTGAAGCAGGAAAATCCACAAGAAATCATGTATTTCGTGTCAAACACCAAACAAAATAACTTCTAGTGGCCCTATATTTGACTTCATTTCTAAAGATCGTATAAATGATCGTTGTTGAAATATACATTCCTCCGATCCTCGTATATGATCATCGACTTTAATCGCGTTGATGAATAACGGGATCAAGTAAGTCAAATACAAGAATGAATTCTGAATACGTATGTTTTATACAATCGTTGACCCAGACAAACTATCGGGGAAGCGAAAGGAAAAGAGAGAAGCAAAATGACGCTCAACCGAAAAGGCATGTGAGCCAACTCGATTTAATCAAGCGTCAAACTATATTTATAGTCAGACAAAAATGAGTTACAGGCATGTGATGAGTAGGATAAGAAATTCGCACATATACGCTTAAATAAAAATAGTCAAGCTTAATAAGCCAATACGTAACAAGGTCAAAAAGTGATTTGAGAAGAATGGGTGAATTGACTCGTCCGAAAGCCAGATTAAGCTATATGGGCTTAACATAGCAACGGACGCTACAAAATTCTCCGAATTTTTAAGCCATGTTGTTAAATCCTATCACTGACTTGAAGAGTACAGTTACCAAGTGAGAAATTCATCTATTATTTTGCCGTCACTTGCTACTAAAATATATCCGAGGGCTTAATATTCGCTGACTAATCTCAACGCCCACCTTGGTGATGCAGGCACTTCAGTTGTCAACCATGTTATAAAAGAAGTATTTAGATGTCCCTAATAATTGGTTCATATAGTAATGCAAAGCCGTCTGTTACCTCAAGCACTTATTTTTCCCAAGTCACTGACTGAACACTATCATCATTTGCAAACAAGTTTCTGATACTTTCTACCCCGTTTCCTTGTGAACATTTATCTCACGAGAGTATTCAATGGGACAGTACACCTTCACTGATCTAAATGTCGAAACGGTCATATTAGCTAGCATCATCATCACGAATCTTATAAAGTAGGTTAGGAACTTTGCCCATCAGTGTAAAGTAAAATCCAGAATGAGATTGAGTATCACAAAGCTCAGTTGCCACCCTCGATATCTGGATAGCATTTAGTTCGTTGACTTGACAGTCAGGCTCGGCTAGTTCACTCCTTTTGCAGTCAAATGTCACATTAATGATCGTAGAAAGTCTGACTACCGAATTCATTTGGCCTCAAGCACATTTGGCGCCATGATGCCATTAAGTCTGATATTATATGGTTTATATCTCAACAACAAATATCACAGTAATATTTTGACAATACCTCCAAAATCAAGTCAGATCACACTGAGAAGTTGTAAGATATAAGATGCTCAGCATTCTTTAATAGGCTGTAGTCGACCACGAGATTAATTTCTGAAAATAATGTCTTTACTGTTCAGGCCCATCATGAGGCCTGGTGGTGCTCATGATCCCTTGATGGCTAAAACGCGATTGTTTCGACCTGAGTTCCAGTTTTTCATTATGCGATCAGCTTCATTTGAATCTTTAAATAAATGGTCCACTACATAAAAAACGGACGTATAGCTACATACGTACTATGATGAGAATGAATATTCTCACTGACTGAGATTTATGAAAACTTCTTTTTTCAGCAGTAGGTAATAGCGTGTGAACACAAACGTCAATTCTTTCGTAATGTATATAGTTGTAAAATCAAACCGCTTTTTATAAATACTCCGGGTGATCCAGAATCACCGGAGTGAGCTAGAGCAATAGCAAATAACTTTCATATAGGGCCTTCACGACCTAGTTTTAGAGGAGATGTAACGTAAAGAGAACGATGAAAATCCCTCCGCAGCTTTTTTGTTGGAAAGTACTGTCATTTATTTGTTTCTTCTCCCTGTCGTGTATTTTAACCTTTGTTCAGTTCTCGTTCAACCAAACATTTTATTCTTCAGTCTTCCTCGTCTGAGCCTTTATTATGTGATTTTGATTAAAGAATTATCTTTTGTTACCTAATTTTCTGTTGCGTGTTGCCGGACTATTGACAGTAAGGTCGTGTTTGACTAAGCTCAAGGTCACGATGTGGTTCAGTGTGTGGCTGTTAACCTTTTGACTGTCTGCTTGGGAGGATTGCTGGAATCCCTGCAGATAGATATTTGATACCACCTTGTTGGGAATATGTTTATTGATTCTCAGGTATCGAAACCTTTGGTACCAACTGTTTCTTTTATTGTTCAACGCGCTACTTTGCATTAGAGAAACCTTTGACTGCACAGCACAGGCTGAACCGTTTGTGGTACCTTGTATTTTTGATATAATTTGTTCTATTTCCTAAATTAGAACCGTTTAAATTGAGCACGGAGTTGTGTTTTGATAGAATTTAATACGAATGTCTCAAAAACGCTTGGTACGCCATACAGAAGAACGTAGTCTGGCCTATTCGAATAAAAAAATGAATCGGCATATGAATTTGCTCCCATAACAATACAGTCAGGTTTTTTTGTTCCTATTGTTTGTCCTAAATATTCTATCGCATTACAACTATCAACACATTCACGAAACTTCTCTATATAATCAGCAAGAGATTTCATTTTGGATAACAACTGCATTCCAACACCATTTCCGGAAAATACCGATACAAGTTACAGATCACAATTTATAATCGGTAATCGTCATAGCCTCTGATAGAGAAGTTTTACAATCTTTCTCTTATAAGATCGATTTTAAAGGTCCAAACTCACCAGTAGCGGATAAATTGCAGTATAATCTAACATTAACAACACTATTTTTATCCCCGAAATCAGTCGACTTATCTACTTCAACACAGTTAAACAAGATTCCTTTTTCAGTGAAAACGTTAACTAAAGCGCAACGAATTTTCTTGAATCAACATTAACTCAATCCCCACAGTCCTAGCAAGTTGCGTTTCTCCCCGTTGATGGAATAACAGATCTGAATTCCGTATGGCTAAAAGTATCTTGTTCATTATTGGTGAACCAGTTCAGTCAAGAAGTAACTTTAGTAAGATTAGCATTATGCCTCACTTCGATCACTTGAGCATAAAAATTGGTCAGAAGAAGCCCCTCTAAATCCCGGTTTCATAAGGGAACTGTTAACAGACACGCTTTCATCAAAATTGTACTAGTTAAAATAATAATCATCTACCTAAACCAATCCCTTCATCAACTTAATGACATCTTTGCCATAATTAGTCGCATCATCTGAATAGTACTCAAGTAAATGGTTTCAGTTTTCTTTATACATACGAATCTTACCTTTTTTAACGAAGTTTAGTCATTAACTGCTCGATTATTGTCCTAGAAAATTCATATACCCTTTATTGCTATGTTTCGCCTTCAACTTTATCAAGTCTGATACACGCCTCACTAACGAATCAACTTTGTTTCCACAAGTAATTGTCAACTTTATTGCAACGCTTAGTAGAACAATTAATCTACGACTTTTACTATCACTGCCAAGTTTAGAGTTAAATTATGAAACGGTATCAAAACGCACTAGCTACATAACAGAGGAAGCTTTCTTAAAATCATTTTCTCCATCGAGCGGCTTAATCGTAGTTCACATCATTCTCGTTGGTGTCAGTCAGAACAGTCTAGTTACTCCATTGAATAAACAGGAAAATATTTAAACATAGCAGGAAACAAATCGCTCAAGCAAAAGAGGCGACTTATAATAAAAAGGCAAAATCAAATAGTTCAGCATATCAGCAGTCCAATAGCCAAGTCATTTAAAGCCATCAACATTGTTCAATATAAAAATTATTTAGTATGTAATGAACCAAAAATATATCAACTCAAAAATAATAATAAAGTTATTAGGTTCAAAAGTTAATGTATTAATATTATAAATATAATTTATTAACACAAGAAAAATTTGCTGGACGGTATTTAAATTGTCTGGTCTTGGCGTGTTCGAGTTGTATTTGGTATAAGTAATTAATAATTCCAATAAACATTGTTATAATTCGAGCTGTATATCCAGATAAAGTATATAATCAAAATATAGCTGTGGTCTATAAATTTATATAATAAATACATAGGAGTCCGGTTATCATAACAAACAATTGGGAACCGGAGACATATGTATGTACTAATGTATTAGTGTGTCGTGCTACGAGATTCAAAATGGAAAAGGAAGATTCAAGGTCATGCAATTTCAAACAATTCTTTTACAGTCACTCATAGTAAATGTACAAATTACCAAAATTAATGAAATAAATGCAAGTAGTATCAAAAACTAAATATAAAATAAGTTTGTCGTGACTATCTCTACACGTATTGCCTAGATAAACTAAAAGACTATTCAGTACTGTTGTGCCGAGAATTCTTGGGATTCACGAGTATTTTGTATAACTTCCGAACCTGGTTCGTTAGACACCAACCAAACACCAATTGATCGAAAGATACCAGTTTGATTATAAAATCTAGTACTAATCACACAACTACAGTTTTGAATTATCTAAATGTAGACATGATTGCAAGACAAAGGGTTGTCGTCTCATACAACGTATACACGGAGGGATTTCCTCTGAAAAGCAAGCATTTGCACTCGAAGCAGTAGAAAGTGAATCTTGAAGTGTGTTCGTTCAATTGCTTAATTATACTTATCCTGTGGAATGTATTTTATACAGTACGGGTTATGGTATAATTGGACTTGTGGTGGACTATGATAATTAGAAGTATTTGAATTATAGTATGAACTAAGAATCCCAGGGATAACGTAATTGAATCAAGAAGTACTAAACAAGCACTAACGAATGTACTGTATTTAGAATTCGAAATCAAACATTCAACAAGTACAAAGGAGTCATTAGTTCATTCAAACACCACATCCGCCACAGCTTAAATTAGAGTCTAAGTGTCTGTAATCAATTGTACGTCTTCTCCTCAAGTTCATGCTGTGTCTGTCCGACAATGTATTGGATAAAGACTCTGTATTATCTAAAATGCACTCATTAGTATTAGAATTAACAACTGAAATCGGAACAGACTCACCTGGTTGCTGCAATTGTATTTGATCAACATGTCGATTGTGTGTACTTAAGTCATTGATATCTAGAAGTCGCACCATAGATTTCCCGACATTCTTCAGAACGATCCCCGTGGATGGTCGAAGATCATTGCCACGATAATATGTAACTTCTGCAGACTCCAAACATCTCATATTCGACCGAAGAGTTCTTCCTTTTAATAGTTTTGATGGAGTCTCTTTCGTCACCGAATGTCTGGCATTTCTATATTGCAGTAGAAAGGTATCTACTCCCCTCTCCAGCTCATTAAATGTTGAGGCAGCAATAGAATCAATGGCAGTTTTTAACGTCCTGACAAAATTTTCTGCCTGACCATTGGAACAAGGATGTCTGGGAGCAGTAAACAGATGTTTGCACCCTATACCATTTAACCAGGTAGTGACTGCATCTGCAGCAAAATGAGAGCCGTTATCAGTTACTAACACCATTGGAACCCCTTCTCGACTAAACACCTTTCTTAATGCTTGAATTGTGAAGTCAGAATTTGGTGAAGTTGTGAAGAAAACTTCAGGCCACTTTGAAAAAGAATCAATAACTACAAGCGCATAGTATTTGCCAAGAAACGGACCACAATAGTCTGCATGAATTCTCTGCCAGGCCTCAGACGATACTGGCCATGGAGTCCACTTCGAATGCTGATTTTTCAGCTTATGACACTTTTCACAATTGTTTGCTGTACGACAAATATCCGCATTTATCTCTGGCCACCAACATGTGAGCCTCGCCAATGACTTCATTTTTTCAACACCTAAATGTCCACTATGAAGATCTTCTAGGACAGATTTACGCAATGAAGGAGGAATAACAACACGATCATTTAAACACAAAATACCATCAGGAGTAGTAGATAGCTCATCCCGCTTTGAAAAATAGATAGGAAATCTACGTTTCAAATTAGCATTCCAACCTTTCCGTATAGCATTAATTATACATCCAAAGTATTTACGAGTTTCTCTAATGAGATCTGGACGTTTCACTGGTAAAGGTTGCACTAACAAACAGTCTGAAGTATTGACAGGTTTATCTTGTAATGACTGTCGAGAAATGTAGTCAACATGTTGAATTTGTTTGGCACTCCTATGCTGAACGGTATAGTCATAGGCACTTAAAGCAATACTCCATCGTTGAACCATAGCAGCTGAGGAACGTGCTAAGGATTTTTCAGGATGATAAATAAACTTTAAAGCCTCATGATCAGTAACAATAGTGAATTTCTTTCCGAATAAATATTTATGGAGTCTTTTAACAGCCCAATACACAGCTAATGCTTCTCGCTGAGGCTGTGAATAACCTTGTTCAGTAACAGTAAGTTTGCGTGAAACACAAATAACTGGTCTACCCTCCTGTTCCAAAACTGCGCCAATACCCACAGGTGATGCATCAGTGATAAGTACAGACTGTACACTAGGGGAGTAAGTTCGAAGAACAGCATCACTTTGAAGAAACTTTAGTAGACTACGTAAGCATGACTCTTGTTCCTCACCCCATTTAAATGTATTGGATGTCAAAATATTAAATAAACAATTTGCACGACAAGAAAAATTAGGAATAAAACGGGAATAGTATTGAAGAGCACCCACTAGTGAACGTAGTTCCGTAAGGTTTTTTGGAGACGGTGCATTTGTCAGTGGAGCTAGTCGTTTCATATCTGGTCTAAAACCATTACCATCAACTAGGTATCCAAGACATTCGAAATTAGATACACAAAATGAACACTTATGTGGATTCACTGTAATATTCTTCTCAATTAAACGACGCAATAAAGCAATAAGTCTCTGGTTATGAACTACCTTATCAGAACCATGGACAATGAGATCATCTTGATAAACTTCAACGCCCTCAAGATCACTAACTACATTATTCATGACTTCCTGAAATATAGCTGGAGAACAACTTAGACCAAATGGAAGGAAATTGTATTTGAACAGACCAAAAGGAGTATTAATTGTCGTCAAAAGAGATGAAGATTGATCTAAAGGGATTTGGAGATAAGCATCTTTTAAGTCAACTTTCGAGAACACTTTAGAACCATGAAGTCGATTTAGAATATCTTCAGCCTCGACCGTCGTGCACGTTTGCTTCAACAAACGGGAATTCAGTGTTAATCTATAATCACCACATATTCTAGGGGTTTTGCCATCCGACTTCAGTGGCGTAACAATAGGAGTACCCCATGCTGAGGACTGGATCGGTTCAATTATGCCTTTCGCACACAAATCGTTTAATGTTTTATGTACTGCCTCTCGAAGACCATAAGGAATTATTCGTCTTTTAAGAAATACTGGTTCACCCTGTACTTGAAGTTTTATAGGCTGAATCTTCATACCTCCACTGCACTTAGCACACGTGGCTATCAAATTTTTAAGTAAAGCATCATTGTTTTCTTTAGAAACTAGGAAAGACAGCTCCACTTTAAGCCTTTTCAAATTCCTTAAGCCCAATATTGACAGTCCTGTTTCGCTAACTAAAAATTCACAAGGTATGTACGAAGAATTATCATCTCTTATTAGCAACTCACAACATCCTCGTATAGGCAGTCTGTGTCCAGTAATCCCCAATATTGATACCTCAGTGGGTCGTACCACAACATTAGGATCTAAAGATTTCAAGTTCTTGAATGAAATAATGGACTCTATACTGCCTGTGTCAACAATAAAGTCATGACATGAACCAAGCGATGTATATAATCGCTTTTGAATATGAGCATTACCTTTCGAAACAGTAGACAAAGATAAGTGATCATTAGGAACAGCTGAATCACCGGGATCTAAATTACAAGATTTAGTGCTACTTGAGGCAAAATGAATAGTAGCTTTGCATACTGATTGAATGTGTCCTATCTTACCACATCTAAAACATTTAGCATTACGAAATGCACATGAATTACGAGAATGAATTTTTCCACATGATAAACATTTGCCAAACTTGGTCTCACCTTTGTGATTTCTTTTGTAATTCCTTGTTGAGATATCTTTCATATTTACACGAGAATAGGAACCACTGTTAAACGAACGCAATTTTGATTGACCCTGAGATTGTATTTCATCATGACGACTAAGCAAAGTATTAGAAATATTCATCGACTGGATATCAAGTTCATTCACTGCCTCGTAGTTAATACACGCAGTTCTAGCATCTTGAAAGGAACAGTTCTGCATTCTTAACAGCTCTCTTTCCAAACCCGGCAAGTTAATTCCTGCAATTAATCGATCTCTCAGTTGCACATGAAGTTGATCACCAAAATTACATTTGGCAGCTTGTTTCTGCAATTCAAGAATGAATTCTTTAACCTTTTGGTCATTTCGACGAGTCATCTTATGAAATTTTGCCCTTTCACGGCATTCAAAACTAGTGCACTTTACATGATTTAATAATAACTCCTTAATAGTTGCATAAGGAAGTGAGATAGGTTTTTCTGGATATGCCAAGGTTTTCAATAAGCTGTATGCTTCTTTTCCGATGAATGTCAGGAAATAAGCCACAATTTTATCACCTTTAACATCCTTCTTGGTCATGCTCCAAATTTCAAACCTTTCCAAATAGTCCTCAAAAGCTTCAGAAGTTGAATGAATATCTAACTGTTCCATCGCAGGCTCCATCGCGACGCCAATATGATAATTAGAAGTATTTGAATTATAGTATGAACTAAGAATCCCAGGGATAACGTAATTGAATCAAGAAGTACTAAACAAGCACTAACGAATGTACTGTATTTAGAATTCGAAATCAAACATTCAACAAGTACAAAGGAGTCATTAGTTCATTCAAACACCACATGGACCTAACATGTCAGTACAAAAATAGTGATAAAATTATAACAAAAGTGTGGAGGCAATTAACAACATTCGAAAATATAAATACACAGATAAAAGGTTCTGTATGTAACTTATATTGTCAGTTGGGAGCATGTCCGAATCACGTAACTGATCGATCACTGAATCCACAATTATAATAAACAATCAATAACCCCAAATAAGAACTACATAAAATATATGCCAGTAATTGTCTAGAAACGATGATACCAATACGAACTGTAAACTCATGTAAGAAGTATATCACAGATCCTTTAATATGGAAGTTGGATAAATGTGAACAGTAAGTGTATGGGCAGTAGTGTATTCATGAGCGATAATCAATGTGTCACGCAAGTAGCGAACATACCAGTAACAGAAAGTCAATGCTAAATTTAAAAAACAATTTTATAGCCAATAACAGTGATTGTGCACATGAAGCGAAACTGTGAAAAATGTGAATAATGTCAAAATTTATTTACAGAACAAGCCTATGTTAGCTATCTCCATAGTCGAAATGCAATGTTTGCATCAACATTGTCTACGAACTTACACAGAATTTTGATGAAACATTTGATTTTTAGTTATCTCTTATAAATTTTCTGTCGTTCTTGAGCTTGTCAAGGACTTCCTTACAATAAGAGGAATAAATTAGGAGTTATGAATTCTTCAGTTATAATGAATCTGAGATTTTTGTAATAACTGATAATTTCTTTGTACATTGTTTTACGACTGGTTGAAATTCCAAACAAAAATATGTTCGATTGTGCTTACAAAGTTCTCTTTACCTTAAATACTGGTCCATAGATGACTACTTGAGTACGAACTGGATAGTTCAAAGTGTTAATAGTCAAAATACTGAATTCTATTATTTCTGAAATCACAGCGAAGCTAACAAATATAAACTTGAAATTATCACTCACTGAGTTTTATATGATATTTGGATGGATATAACCTAAATCATAGAACGGATGATTTGAAATATTGTCCCTTTTCTTCTGTACAATACGGTACTTCGACAATGAGGCAATAAGACTGGTTTGAGTGACCGAGTTTATAATACCGCTAGGCTGGATACTCAAGCAACACACAATACAGATACTAGATCACGTTATATCACATACACCAATCATGATCAAGAAAAGAGAACTGAATTAGATTTTAGACAATACTTCATTTCACACAACTACAGACACTCACTTTCAGTGAGACTGAAATAGAACTCAATAAGAGCAAAGTAAATAACATATCTAATAGTCATTAAATCGAGTACTTATTTATACACACTCAGTGGCCAATCACATATATCTTCACTACCCCACATCACTAATTATTCCATACACTCACAGCCATTTGATTATTTAATCACTTTGCACCTTGGTCAACTATCCGGAAGCTAATCAATGATATACTTTATAAGTTACCCTCAGGTGTTTCCGTAGTTCTTAAATGATAATGTAGTATTTGCTAAAATGGCTAGAAATATGCAGCAAAGCTAATGTGCATAATTATACTTGATGTTTTACAACGTAAACGTTTGTTGACACCTGTATAACAACTTACTGTACCAACTTGCAGAGATGATTTGTTGAAGAAAAACAACTAAAATCTAGTTTATTGTGGACCATTTCTTTGTTTATATGATCTCCTAATAGGATGTTGTTAAATGCGAAATTGCCTACAATGATCTTTTCAATGTACGATAAACTGATAATCTCTCAACTTTTAACCAAATAACAGAAAAACAAAATTCAAAGGTACAAATTTTACTCATTAGTTAAGAAACCCCTCTAAACTGTTCTAATTAACAATTGCACTTATAAATTTCATAACAAACCTTTAAGATTTAGGTTTCTAGAATCAAAATGAAAAGAGTAAATCAAAGTTTGAGGGCAAAACGATAAATAAACCATGTTCAAACTTGAGCAAAACAAATACATCAAAAATCCAGTAAAAAGGACGATTTCCACGATAACAGTTTGTAGTAAAATATATACTTCAATTTCAGTATGATCTCCGGATTAATTAAAAAAGCGAATAGACGATATAAACTCCTAGGTGGAAATAATCCTGTTTTTTACTGTTTGCATAATTAGTCACTATGCTACGAACTGGTTCTTTGCTTGGTGATGCCACATTTGATTGCTTTAATGTACAGACTTAAATTAAAAGACAGATTTACTGAGATGTGTCGATCCTTGTAATAAGTATTCCTGTAAAGTTCCAGCTTAATTTTTATTCACATAGACAAATCGAAGTACATGACGGACTAACAATTGAAAATTTTACGAAAGCTATTACACCCAAGGTCGTGTAGATGGAAAATGAGTGACTTTCAGCTTGTCACTTTATATTCAGTTACGACAAGCATCTTATCCACTTTTTAATAAAAGTGTGAAATCTAACATTTTCGAGTTTTTTTTTTCGTCCATTTGATATGTTAGTGCTCTATACAAGAGGGTGATTTTCACTGGGGATTTCATTTTAACCATATAAAGCTATCAAAGCATGTCTTCTTCGGTCAGGATACTGTTGTGACTTTATGAGCAGCTTGTTATCATGTAATCTATTCGCCAATCAAAATACGACTTATGCGCTCTTATACTGTACTAAACCAATGATCTTCGACCGGTTTGATCAGCTTAGCGTCCGATTGGTCCGTTGCTCGCCTAGCCCGTCCAGCTGAGTCCAGAATACCAATAACAGCCTCCACTACGCTAGTCACTTATTTCAGACATACTGGGTTTATATACCAAACAAATAGAAAATAACACTCGTACAAAATATAACCAAAAGTGGCTGCGAACGTGGGAGACAGTAATTAATAAACTGAGTATAACTAAGGAACAGTGAATCGTACAATAATAATCTATAGGTCAAAATGAAGCTTATAATAAGGGGAATATAGATATATACAATCTAGTTACCATAAGAACATATAGATAATATCAGTCGGTTAATAGGTTTCAGACGTTACTCGTAATTCAATCTTCACTAGGATATGACAGATACAATACACTATTCCAACGTTCTGAACGAAGAAAAAGAGAAAGAAAGTAAAAATTACGCTTTTGTATGCAATATTCACTTACTAAATGAACAGAAAAATCATAGATGTTCCAAACATATTGAACATTGAGATGTATATGAGGTACATATTTACGGACACGTCCCATCCACTTTTCTTTTATGCCTTAAATTATATCTTAAATCAAACCCGTAATTAAAAATAATCGTTGATGAAACCCTAACTAGGAAACAATAATAATTCCAAGGATGGAAGAACAAGTACTTTTTATATTATATTTGTGATTCAATGTTTTGAAAATTGTCCATGTTGATAAGCAGAATTGAAATGACTAATTATTGGCTAGTAATTCCGCTTGTCTGGGTTAGAATTCATCATTAGTTAGCTACGAGTGATTACATTTACAATTAATTTATTTTAACCACAAAATTAAGCATAATCTTCGATAAGAAAATAAATTCATAATCGATTTGCATTCATATTATAGTTTAATATTTTAGAAAAGATGGACAGATAAAATAGTTCAACAATAGCTATAATACAAAGCTGAATGATGTAGGTAGGATAGAGTTATGTCAATCAAAAATGGAAATAATTTTGAACTCATGTTTACTAGAAAATTAGCACTAATTATAACTGATTTAGTCTAGTAGCTATTGGGTCATTTCGCTGAGATATGATTTTCACACTCTATTTCGTAACTAGTATTTCTGTAAGACCCATTTGAATAACCGTGATATTATCGAGGAATATACCAAATATCACTGAATGATCGCATTTCAACCATTCAAATACTAACATACAACCATAAAAACAACTGGCTTTAGTCAGGTTGTTTATTCTAGGCGTGACTCAATATTTATGACAAATATACAATAAGATAAAATATATAGGCGCTGAAAAAAACCACAAATATAGGTACAACCAATATAAAAGGACAAATGAGTGAGTGCTAACAGTGAATGAATAAAATAGGTTGCAAGAATTGTTTATATATTTTTACACGTTTACGTTAAGCATGATATAATTTAATTGTCCATGGTTTAAATATATTGAAAATCTTTTTATTCACAATGGTTTAGAATGAGTTTACAAATGAAAAATTCACAACTATCTAATGACACTTATTTTACGGCGACAATGTTAGAAGTAACTTATAAATAAATTAACATATTTGCAGTATCCCAATGAGTAGAAAAATGAGGTTTTTTGACGTTTCGTGACTCATTGTAAGTCACTTCCTCAGAGAATAAGTAAACATTCGTTTATTCTCTGAAGAAGTAACTTACGTTGAGTCACAAAACGTCAGAAAATCTAATTTTTCTACTCATTAAGATGCTACAAATTTATTAATTTTTTTATAACAATCTACTCAATGCTCAATTTATTCGAAATTATGAAGTCAAATCTCGGTAATGATACTTAAAAAGTAACTTATATTTTCATAGTTCATGATTATGTAATTTTAATGCTTCATATAAACAAAAGTTAAACTCATTAACAAAAATTTTAAGGCTTAGTTATGTTTAGAATGAAATGTGAAAAGTGTACCTTAACTATTAAGTTAATTTATCTTCATGTATATTTATAATTATTGATCGTGACTAGAAATAATGAATGAAGTCATACAGAAATAAATCGAGGAGTGCTTTTTCAATCTTTGTACTTATAAAATCTAAGTCAATCATTTGATAGTTACTATTTAAAAACCGTTTAGGTTTGTGTTATTTTTATCGCTTACAACAATGTCAGTATTGATTAATATTAACAATATGTTACGCACACATAGGGGGTTTTTATCGATCAACTAAGTTTGTGTTTCGTGATTATTAACACTTTTCAATAAGATATATTTTGAACGTTGAAATATGTATTCAATGATTCATGATAATCAACTGAACACATATAACGGAAATGCGTCGGTTC